GGGAAGGGCCCTGCCTTATGTCAGCCCTTGCGGGCAGCTTCTGGGATTGGAGGGGAAGCACAGATTTGTTTTGCACATGTGCCAGGAGCCTAGAGAGTTAGAGCTTTAGCAGCATAGGCAATAGCGCTTGTTGCTCCTAGGGGTGCTGTTGGTAGTGTCTGTGCACCAACCTGCTCTTCACCTCTGGTGATCATCTGTTTTATAAAAAAAACAAACAAACAAAGGCATCATAGAATGGTCACGGAATGGTTTGTGTTGGAAGGACCTTAAAGATCATCCAGTTCCAACCCCCGTGCCACAGGCACTAGACCGGGTTGCTCAAAGCCCTGTCCAACCTGGCCTTGCATGCTGCCAGAGAAAGGGCTGTAAGGGTATTGGGTAACCTGATTTGGCAGAAATGCCACTGAAAATAGTCTGCAGGGCAGTTATTTATGGGAGACAAGTGATGCTCTGGCTGGGTGCTCTGTTGGTAATTCGACTGTCATGTTGACTTGATCTCCCGTTTCCCTGAGGTGCCAACGATGGCTGTAGAGAAAGTCTTTGTGTACAACAACACATCCATTGTGCAGGATGAAATTCTGGCTCATCGCTTGGGCCTTATCCCTATCCGAGCAGATCCACGGCTCTTCGAATATAGAAACCAAGGTGAGAGTCTTGGATCAAACAGAAATATTGAAGGTTTCCCCCAGAGCAGGAAATCAGGGTCACGTAAACAGAGCAGAAGTGCGATTCCTTAGAGGCTCATGCTGTTCTCCCCTTCCCAGGAGATGAAGAAGGCACAGAAATTGATACTCTGCAGTTCCAGCTGAAAATAAAATGTAGCCGAAACCCTCAGGCAGCCAAGGAATCATCTGATCCTAATGAATTATATTTCAATCACAAAGGTGAGATCTCTCCTAAAATGGGTGCTTTTTCTTTCCTTTTATGGTCTTGGGATACAGGATTTGGTCTGTTTTCTCAGCTCTGTGAGCTGAGAGAGCTGATACCCTCATTTTGCTAAACTTTTTGCCATCTCCAGTCCTGTACAGGTCAGTGATCAGCACTGGCTGATGCTGTGGTTTCTCTTTGCAGTGTACAGTAAACATATGACGTGGGTGCCCTTGGGGAATCAGACAGACCTCTTTCCAGATGCTGACTTCCGACCTGTTCATGATGACATCCTCATTGCACTGTTGCGGCCTGGCCAGGAAATAGATGTGCTTATGCACTGCGTCAAGGGTATAGGTTAGTCGTGGGTCCCAGGGCAGTGGGAGGAAGAATGTGAGTGCTTGGACTCGGACACAGCTGTGTGAAGGGGAAGGGTGTAGAACTGGCTTTCCCCCACGAACTTAGGCCCTGGCATCCTTGTACTCTCCTTCCCTGAGGCCTGCCCTCATTTTTGACTCTTAACTCTTCACGCAGGTAAAGATCATGCCAAGTTTTCTCCTGTGGCCACAGCTAGTTATCGACTGCTTCCTGACATTACTCTCCTGCAGCCTATTGAGGATGAGGCAGCTGAGATGTTGCAGAAGTGCTTTTCCCCTGGAGTCATTGAGATCCAGAATATCAAGGGTACTTTTTTCCTGCTCTTAGTGCCTTGTTCCTTACAAGCTTTAGCAGAGACCAAATACAGACTAGAGTCAAACCTTGTAGAGACAAAACCACACTGTAATGTTGACTTGCTGATCAGCAACTGTTTGTGCTATTCTGAACCTGGTTTTATGGATTAGTGGCCGTCACATGCAGATGTGATCTCCCTGAAATGCTAAAGGCATTGGGTGCCTGTCCTCAGAGCTCTGCAGCTTCCAGTGCTGTTGTTTGTAAGCCGGGGTAGTGAGCTTGCTCTTTCCAGCAGCTGAGCAAGGAGAAGACGTCTCCTGTCCTGCCTAGGGGTAGGATACACACAGGCTTTGTGGTTGGGTTGGAACTGTCCAAGAGACCAGTTTTGTCAGGTTAAAGTTTTCCTGTTGGGGACATGCTAATTCTTTGTGGTGGTGGCTTCACTGCCTTAGATGATGGGGCGTGCATGTCTGAGGGGTAAGCACCTGCTGTGTTCCCAAGGCACCCATCTTTTCCCCTTTAGGAAAAAAGGTGGCAAGAGTAGCCAATGCACGGCTGGACACGTTCAGCAGAGAAGTTTTCCGTCATGAGAGTCTGAAAAACCTTGTACGCCTGGCAAGAGTACGGAATCATTACATCTGTAAGTGCCCCGTGTTCCACAGAGCAGAGAGCCTGCTGTGGTTTGTCCCAACAAGCAGAGACTGCCAGCACGTATAGCTCACCCCCCACCATCAGCATTCATACATTCATATTCCAGTGGGTAGTTGTGGTTCAGTGTTGCTTTGGGATTTAATGCATTTGCGCTTCCTGTCAGCAAGTGTAACCTCTTCTCCTCTGTGAAGATGTGGCTTGGTGGAAGTCCGGTGTAAGGAAAGATGAGGGACAAATGCTGGAGCTAGGTGTAGGCTGAAGCTGCCTAGTGGCTGTGCTGACTTGTGTCTCTGTGCAGTTTCAGTGGAGTCAACGGGTATCTTGCCTCCAGATGTGCTGGTGAGTGAAGCCATCAAGATCCTGATTGGAAAGTGTCAGCGCTTCCTGAATGAGCTGGACTCAGTGCCTATGGAGTGAGCAGGCTGGGAAGCATATCCCTGCACCGTTTTTGGCTTCTTGCACCTGCCTGCAGGAGTGATTCCTCTTGCATCGGCAAGAGGTTTGAGATGGGCTTGTTAGGAGTCCTAGGACCACCTCTTTGAATTTGCTTTCTGTTAGTAATGAGCCTCAGTGAGGAGATGCACTAAAATAAAGGCTTTTCTTTATAGCTGTCTCCTTCTGTGCCGTTCACAACTGTGAGACTAATACACAGAAAAGAAAGTGGCTGCAGGTCTAAAGATAAATAGCAGTATTTATTTTAGGTTGGATGCAGTATGTGAAGAGGAGTAACATGGCAATGTAGTAAAGGACTTTGTAGCAGGTCAGTGAGATTTAACATGTCTGTATCAGTGCAGGACTATTGCAGGTATCTCAAACCAGCTCTGGGGTAGTTAATGTGGTAGATAAAAGGCAGTATTGTCAGAGGGCTGGGACGCCTCTGCTGTGAAGAAAGACTCAGAGTTGGGGAGGTTCTCCATGGAGACCTTAGCGTGGCCTTTCAGTATATCAAGGGGGCATGGAGAAAGACTTCTTACCAGGACCTGTAGCGACAGGACAAGGAACAACATTTTTAAACTGAAAGAGGGTACACTTAGATTGGACATAAGATGTTTTTTACAGTGAGGGTGGTGGTGAAATGCTGAACAGGTTGCCCACAGAAGCTGTGGATGCCCTGCTCATGGAAGTGTTAGACTGGGCTTTGAGCAACCAGATCTAGTGAAAGATATCCCTGCCCACAGCAGGGTGGAGGGTGTGTGGATTAGATGGGCTTTGACAGTCCTTTGCAGCCCAAATAAGCTTATGATTCTATGATGCAGTACTGGGCTTCTCTGTGCAAAGGTGGGGTTTAAAACCAGGCTCTGTAAGGATGGATTGCCCCTTCTTAAATCTCTCAAGCCTTTCTTCCCAGGTGCTAGATTTGACTACTCTGTTCTCTCTTCAAGTGACTGAATGTATGTTGGGCTGACCAGCAGGACTGGATGGTGGAGGGCAAGTGACAGTCAAAGGCTTGTCTCCAGCTAGGGAAGCCTGGGAGAAGTTGCAAGCTAGTCTCAGTGGTGAGCACTAATTGTCAGCACTGGGTAGGTCTTGGCTTGTGAAAGTTGCTCTTGACAATCTGATGAAGGGTCTGGAGAAAGAAAGGCTGGGAGAACTGGTCTCAGTTGCTTAAGTCAGTTCTCACAACGCTAGAATTTAGGGTAGCAAATTGTACTTCTTCTTTACCTGTTTCACTGGAATATAGCTACTTACACAATAAACATCTGTGCAGGTGTTAGTAGTCTGGAATGGTTCATCCTCTCCCTGATAATGTATGTTGACTACAAAGGTGCTCCCTTTTAGGTAGCTGGAATAAGGAGTGCTGAGCAATCCTTAGGAAGGCAGTCTGGGCAGAGATGGTCTCAGATCTTACCAAAACAGAAGGATAAAAATGAAACGTGACACCATGTGTATGAAACTGGAATAGCTTTACTGACATTCAGAGGTGTAACACAACCAGCTCGGAGACAGCTTCGGATTTAAACATTCCTACAAAAAAGGTTCTAAAAACCATTTAAAAAAAAACCCCTTGTGTCTAGCATGAAGTCACAGAATGTTAAAAATACCACAACACAATAAATACACCCAGCCTTTGCTAGAGCCAGGAGCCACGTTAGCTCAGAGGTTAAAAAAGTTTGAGGCCAGGAGGAAAGTGGAGGGTGCTGGTGGCACAGGAAGGG